TTGATCGATTAGTTGGTTGATTGGTTGGTTGTTAGATTGACTGGCTGGTTTATTGGTCGGTTGATTGATTAGTTGGTTGGCTGTCAAGATTAATATGGGTTGATATATTTCCTGGTCGATTGATTATGATTGACATGTGGTGTTTATTATAGGATGGACAGATAGATGCACATGAGCTGCAACGATGTCTAACAGCATCTGGTATTTCAGGGACTTATCAACGTATGTCATCTTGATAATATTTTAGAGTTACTTATCAGTCACAAAATATTAAATTATATTCTGGCAGCTAATTCATGTTCTTTTTTCTTTCTTTGAACAGCATTCAGTCTTGAAACTTGCAGGTTWGTTGGTTAATTTTAAACTAGTTAAGTGTGAATTGGCTGCATGAGTCTCTGTGACATTGCAATTAGCCCTCCATTATCAACTATATAGAGGCTTTCTCTGAATTCTTGTCCCAAGCAGCCATTATTTCTTTTGTAAAATATTTRCAGCTTATTCTTGTCATTAGATAACTATATTTGAAGAGAGCATACCAGATCAGTCATATTATTTCAGATTTCTATGTTTCAATATATATTATTTATTGAAAATGTAATCTTGCTAACACAAGAATGTTTTTTTTGTTTCTTTTAGAATTATGATCAACATGCTTGATGTATCCTTAATATATAAAAATACCATTGCTATAAGATGATGAAGATCAGTAGTGTGAAAGTGAATAAAACTGTCATTTTTTTGCTATCATTTCTATAATAATTGTAAGTTTACAATTAAATAACCAACTCAAGGCACAAGGTWTAATAATATAATGAAATTAGATTTTATTGACTGTACTTTTAATTGTACTTCTGTTCAAAATTCATGAAATTATAAATAAACTTTTTTTTTGGCTTAGTACAACTAAATGTTGTAGTTTTTTTGTGTACTATACTTTACTTTATGATRTGAGTTTTTATAGTTTTCTATTAATTTTGTGGACACACTAGTAGTCATGTGACCTTGACTATATCTTCAGCGTGATTATAGTGGTAAGATGGGTTTCCAAGAATTCAAAGAACTCTGGGGAGCTTTGAACCAATGGAAGGTAACCATATAACTACGCCAGTCTCTCAGAATCAGGGGCATATCCAGGATTTTTATTGGGGTTGGGGTGGGAGTCCTTACATACCAAAGCGTCACTATGATGTCAGTATGATGTCATATCAATCTAGGGTTTTCGGGCTTTTTTTGGTTTCAAAAGGGTGGATGAAAGGCACCCTGTGACTCTCCTGGATACGCCCCTCTCATTAGAAACGACCACTCTGAGACCACATTTCAGTAATTCTTTAAAGTGGCAATTTGGTTGATCGATTGATTGAATTCTGATTGATTGAATTCAGTATATCTTTGCAGACAACCTTTATGCAGTATGATRGAGATAGATCAGGAACAGTTGAACCACATGAGCTTCACCAAGCATTGGCTTCGTTTGGTAAGCTAACTGAATGGATTGCTAGAGTGCACACACTACATCCATGAAAACAAATTTGTACTTACTACAACTAAATATTATTCAATGACATCATGTGTGCATCCAGGAGTTTAAAATAATTAAAATAAAAAGAAATAAATTAAAATAAGGGTTTTCAAAATTTGTTATTGCAATAACAAYTTGAGGAAAATGAAAAAAGTCAAGCAACTTATGTCCTACCAATCCCGGAAATGATTACATTGAGCCAATCAGACTGAGTGTTATATGTTACCAATCAGATCAGGCATTACATAGAACCAATCAGATTGTATCCTGACCATGTTATGTGTACATCATCCTTTTTTGATTGCATTCTAACAATCGAGTTGTATTTGATGATTTAATAATATTTAATAATTTACATTGSTAGGATATCGACTAAGTCCTCAAGCCCTCAATGTCATGGTAAAGCGTTATTCACTTAACAACCGCATTAGTTTTGATGATTTTGTAGCTTGTTGTGTGCGACTGCGAGCCCTGACAGGTAAGAAGAGGACTATTGCATKAAAAAACATCCTYRTTTTAAACTAATCAAAACATATTCTATTTAAGATCAATTYCGCCGCCGTGACGTCAGTGGAACAGGGACTGCTAACTTCCAATACGATGACGTAAGTACACGTCACGTTATGACRTCATCAGGCTATGTGTAACGCTTGTGGCGCTCAAGGTTYTAATCCTATGTTTAAATTTAACTGTTATTTTTTTTTCTTCAGTTCATTCAAGTTTCTATGTACTGTTGAAAATGGAATGGTGTYATATTTTGTATATGTCAATCTGTTACCGTAGCTGCACCAATTTAATACCATAGTAATCCACCATTTATTAGCACCAAAACGCATTAGATGTTGGCAAACAGGACAGACCGTTGTGACTCATGGGTAATGTATYAAAATTGATTTCTCATTACCAAAAAAAAAAGTTTTTTATCCTTTTTTCCATGCGACTTGCGATTGCGATTGTTAGAGTAATACCAGACTCGTAACCCACTAACGGCTGCGTACGAGTCTGGAGTAAAACCGTGGTTTCTCACATCTTGAAACAGTTTTACCTTAGTTTAASTATGGTTTTACTTATTAACAACTCTGTTGTCTGTCATGATTGCCATGTCATACCATACCATAACATATACCAAGAATAGACTGTCAAATTGTAAGCATTTTAATAAAGTCAATTGTCGAACCAATGTATTGTTATTTTTGCATTTTTATGTTTATATTGATGTGATATAAAATACTCAAACCTAACAAATGCTCRACTTATTCTATTATTGGCAAGCTTAAATTAGATCTATTGGACGRTTCCTTACTCGGGCATCCTTGTTAACCGTCCTTTCTTGTTGGGCGTGGTTAACCACGTGGTCTACAGTTTGGTGGTGTCGCTTTGACTTTGTTAAGCTCGTTCTCGAACTTTTTGGGTAAATTCCGTGCATATGTAGGCATAGCGAAATTCATGATAAAACCGTTCGACGATCTCGTTGCACCAACGTAATATTCCTTGTTCGGGAGAATTTTACTTAGGCAGCCAAATAAACCTCTCCTGCGAAAGCCTTCAAAACTAAAAGAAAAAAAAAACAGTTTTCATTAAAAAAAAGCAATTACGGCAAGATCTAAAAAGATATATACTCGACTATTCTTTTCATGCAGTTCCTAGCGCCATCTTTTAAGACAAATTACAAGCTCCTTTATTTCCTTTGAGCTTGCAATGCAGTGATTCAAGTGATATATACATGTAAGTTATACCCTTTTCATTTTCAACTAAGGTTATCATCATTCACTGGTATTTTACCAGTGAAGTAAAAAACACCGTGAAATAGATATTACACTAATACACCACTCTACGGAATTGCACTGATCTTCTTTTGTGTCTATTTTGATAGTCAAACTTGTTTCACGGGTTTAATGAATTAAATCTATCAAACTCATTTTCACTGTACTTACTTTATAGTGATGTCTTTTCCACCCCTGGGATTTTTGAAGCCGTGTACAACTCGACCTATCATCCTTTTATAGTTGATATCCTTAGGAATAAACTTGATAACTGTTGGAGAAATACCCTYATTTCAAYTACTGCTTTTCACTTCAAAAACRTGAAACAAAAAAGTAWGAGCGAAAAGTATTGTGGGTACGTAGTTTTGAAMATCATKMAAGTGCYGCGTGCGATRAGARAGGCTTAGATCTGTCTAWGTCTGAAGTGCATTTGAGCTTTACGTTATGATAAAATGCTATAMAAATGCCRTCATATTKCGKTGTACAYTGATGGTGGRTATCGTAAATRATTGGAATACTTACGAAGATCATGACTACAGTACAAAGTTTCAAAATTAAACAAGTCTGTCGCTAAAAGTAGAGAAAAAAATACAAAGTCAAGTTGTATCAATTCGTTCATCCAGTGATAACTCGAAAAAAGTAATTTATTTTTTCACCCGAATTATCTTCCTCCATACCCCACACCCACCTTCGTCTGTYGCCGATGCCACAGCATGGAATCTAAACTCCTTGTTTGATGATCCTATGGTYCTGAAATTWCCCGATTGAAACCAAACTTGAATGCAGCGCGAGGCACACTGGGAAACAAGTACACCAGGGTTAAAAGAACCACAGAACTTCAGCGTGGATCTCACAGGCGTGCATTCTAAAAATATATACGATACAAGTTAGTATAAAATATGAAAACTCAGTATTAAAAAATCACACGAGATTAGGGTAAGTTCGCAGCTCCAAAGAACGTCACTGGTGATTGTTTGGCTCAACTAAGAGCGAAACTAAAGAACAAAGCATATACAAAATAGAAACTACTGTATTGTTTTATCAAGTCAACCACAATGGATTTTTATTCATTAAGTGACAATGATGAATAATAATCGGCTATCTTTTTTCATGCATTCGCCAGTGATGAATAATGCTGGCGTTATTCTGGTAATAAGCATTTATTTAATCTTGCTGGGTATGAAATGAAATGTTATGCACGCCAGGGTGGATGCTATCAGCGAAGCCGTAGACTCCAGGGTGATTGCATGCACCTCCGGCCATGCCCGTACAGTACACATACCGTGCAAAATCTGTAGATGATCATTATTAACAGGACGTAAATTGACCTCTTTAAAATCCAGTTTGACTCGTTTCCCTGGTGACGGGCAAATCCTCCAGGAGCACATCTTGTCTTTTCTGTAGGATTGTGGGTAATGTGGACTTTGGATTTGTTCTTGTTCRCCAGGTTTAAGATACATAAAGGTCCCACATGGAACAGGATCTAAGATAAAGAGTGGTATAAATACGAATAGCTGTATAGGAACTTTTTTTAACTTTATGTGGAAATTCTTAAAATATAACATTTGAATATTTGGCCATCTATTACAACGAAAAATACACATAAACAATTCATACGACATGYCTGGCCATCGAGTTACTTACACGGTCTCAGGTATGTTAATATTAATAATTATCCTCCCAGGAATAATAATGCACCTTATATTATACCCAAGGTACCTTACGACGGTCAACAATTGTCTACTTATAATGCGGACATTCGCCACTTTTGAATTGTTTTGCTTGTTTTGCTGATTTTCAATCTTTCCCCCTTGAGATCGAAAGACTGGAGGCCATGTTGGCAATATCAACACAAAATACTAATAAGAAACTGTGAAAACAGAAGTATCCCTTACCGATAAACAGNACACGGTCTCAGGTATGTTAATATTAATAATTATCCTCCCAGGAATAATAATGCACCTTATATTATACCCAAGGTACCTTACGACGGTCAACAATTGTCTACTTATAATGCGGACATTCGCCACTTTTGAATTGTTTTGCTTGTTTTGCTGATTTTCAATCTTTCCCCCTTGAGATCGAAAGACTGGAGGCCATGTTGGCAATATCAACACAAAATACTAATAAGAAACTGTGAAAACAGAAGTATCCCTTACCGATAAACAGCCTCACGATCGCAGTTGTTTTTCCTGCAGGATTCCATATTGTACACTCGTAAACACCCATATCACTCATACTGACACGCCTCAGGCGTAGTGTRTTTGATGAATGTGGTACAGTATGCTGAAATCCWCTATCCCCTCGCTTACTCCATATGACGACAAGGGGGGAGGTGCCACTGGCATGACACACCAATTCAGCTGTTTTCTCTTCCTGAACTCGTACAATCGACTTGAATTTCTTGCGGTCACGTGAAATTATTGGGCGACCTAAAATGATTCGAGTATCATATTATCGTTATTAGGAATCCCACCATCCATTTTTTCATTCGTTTTCATCCCTTTCAAATTCCTGATTGTCACTTTGTCTCTTTCAGATCACATTCTCCCATCTCATTTTTCTCATTTTATAATCCAGTATTTCCATATCGGTTGTAATTCATTCAAACCGCAATAAACAGATCCCCCAAAAGATTCCATTTAGTGACTCAAAGCTTGTATTATAAATATTCGGTTACAAATCAGCTTGGTTATCGTTGAAAACTAAGGAGGACAAAACATCCATAAGTGATGATTATCACTGATTGGACTATAGTTAACGTGTACTTACGACAAGATGAGGACTKAGAGAGAAGCGGATTACAAACACCTCGTTTGGCCATAGCAAGAGTGTGGTTATTTGCCACTTGTGCGGAAGATTTAGGCTGGCCATCTTCGTAATTTGCYTTCATGTCTGAGGTCATGTAAAAGATGTAGTCAACAAAGCTGGAAACGTGAGTTAAGCACATCTCTTCTACACCGAAATAGCCAAAACAAATTTCCTTTGGAAGGTTCTTGTCACCCTTGATGACTTCAAGGACTTGAATGCATGCCTTGTATCTAAAATAGTTCTGATACGTAGCTGTTGTGTTGAGTACACGGCCATGGACCACTAATGGTGCCAAGATTGTACGTTGTGTTATTGTGTAATACGGAATATTTGSTATGATTGAACAGCAGTTGGTACCACAAACCAACAGCAGTAAGTACACCAACGACCTCATTGTGGCATGGAAATAGTGAAACTAGACAAGTAGGGTTATTTAAATATATACTGCACGCAATACTCGTTCATCACACGAAGAGTGATGAAAGCAAGCAACCTAAACCTCTCTTTCATACACCACTTACATATATTTCCGGTCCATGCCCTTGCTGTGGGCTTTGGCTGCGTGCGCGCATAGGCGTCAAGGTGCGGTAAATCCTATCTGGGAATGTATTCACAAAGTCAAGATCTTGGTCTCAGCGATCGATATCATAATCAATCTCAGTGGTTAGCAAGGTCAGCAGAACAAGACTGCGTGTAGAATAAACCGCAGAAAACATTCCAGACTCCCTCGGTTACTGTTAATAGAATAACAATAAGTTTCTTTGTTAGTTTTGTGTTATAGTTTTATCACCACTTTAACCGCGAAATTGTACTTTTATGTAACGCACATAAAACGGTTAGAGATTTAGTACACTTTTGTGCTGATTTTGATTTTGTACAAATCCAAGGATTAAATGCCCATAATCTATAATACCATGTTTTTAGACCTCCGCGAGTGCAATGTCTAGAGTACGATAAGCTTGACTACTCATATTGAAAATCGAAAATCGTCGTCGAAAATTGCAATTAAAAAAATTAAAACTGTAATTTTCGCCTTACTACGCCCAATTCCTTAGAGATACACCCAATTTTTACTATGAGATTGTCCACCCAATTCCTACAGGGTTCGGAGATAAAGCCGCCCAGATTGTTTGCATTTTATGTGACGCAAACAACGCGCCTTTCTCTGCTTAGACAAATAAAGTACCACAAATTAAAAGTGTTTGTAAGAAAAAAGGAAGATGTTAGAATTAGACTTCACTTGCTTTGCACTGGATGTAAATCATGATCATTTTTCTTTTTTATTCGGTTCACCAATGAGTTTATTTTATGGCAGAAAATTTGGAAAACTATGGGCCATTATACTGCAAAAAGCGCATAATTATTAAAAAAAATTATACATGATCTCAGTCTTAAAAACTGCTCCGCAGTCGCGGAATCACGAACGAAGACGACAAAGAATCCCTTCATTTGTTGTTTGTTTTGCATTCAGATTGCGTTTTGTCGCGCAACTGTTCAAAGGCGAAGGCTAGGTTAAGTACAGTAGACTCATCAAAGTGTCTTCCAATTATCATCATGCCCACGGGTAGTCCCTCAGAGARTCCCGCATTGATTGAAAGAGCGGGATGGCCAGTCACATTAAACGGYGATGTGTTTTTATTCCATTGAGAAGCCTCGTGTAATATTTCTAAAAGGAGACAAGAAATGGTTCTTGAGTATTGGAGCTTTGCCATGGCACGCAAAATAGCATAGCTGAACCATTTTATTTGACATTTCTTTTCGCACTTTTAAAGTTTTTTTTTAACAGATGCATTTGGGAATATTAGCATAAATGTGCTATCTTAATGTTGAAAAAAAAACGACTTTCAAATACAACATTCTATTAGAGTTGCCCAGTCACTTCCGTTTACAAATTGAACAGGCAGCCCATTAAAATAAGAAGAAAAACTAAAAAAGATAATTACCATTAATTGTGATTCCCTCTGAAGGAAGTTGAGAGGGTTTTTTTGGACATGTTGGCATTATGAGCACATTATACTTCAGCAAGGCCTCGTCATAAGCTTTCTTTAATTCTCGCCGTAAATTCTGCGCTTTGCTGTAGAATATTCCATAATAATCTTCCTGGAGATACCTAACGAGCAAGATTTATTTTAAATTCAGATAAAAATACAAACGATGCCTTTATATTGCATGACATACCTTCCTAGTAACCGTGAGATGGTGACGGTTGGTGGGTGGTCGTTAGGGTGGCTCTTCAACCCACGTGATGTAGCCCGTTGAAGGTT